GAACACTTGCGCGGGTAAAGAATTCCACTTACGAATAGTACGACAAAGAAATGAGTCACCAAATTTCTTTGTTCGTGTAGGAATAGTGGCCACAGTAAGTCGGTTGGTCCTCTGAAGAAAAGGTGATGGAGGGATAAGGGAGAATAACTCCTCCAAACACTCGCCGTGGTATAGTCGGTAGAATTCGCTTAATGATGCCACATCGCGGCGTAATTGTAGAGACTCGAGTTTCTTAGTTACCTCTTCATCGCCAATGATGCGAGCAGCGCGCCGCTGCAAATTATCCAAGGCATCGAGTAAGTACTTAGCGGAGCCATCCCAAAGGTGCGAGCAATATTCCACGCAGGACCGCATTTGCGTTTTGTACAACAAGCACAGTTGCTCGGGCGTGAAAAAACGCTCAGGACTCCGAGTTTGCGTGAAGCTGTTTTGATCACGGTTTCGATATAGTCCTTTGGATTCAGGTCTGAGCGAATTTCCATACCTCCATTCCATACAATTCGCTTACACAAATATTTATTCGCTCAGACAAGTCGGTAGCAGCAATTAGTTAGAACTTGCAAAGTTCCTGTCCAACACGGTCCGTTGCCGCGAACATGCTTGCACAAGGCGCTATTCGTATCACCACCCTCATAAAAGACGATTAACACAAACGTCGCACGTTGCGGGTCTAACAGGGTTGCCAATTTATTTCAAAATGTAAAAAAAACACATTGAGATGTTTATAATCCTACCTGCATTCAAAATAAATAAAATAATGTATAACGAAAAAGGAACGATACGACAAAGTTACACAAGAATTCGAGACTACACTTGCATGAAAAAAAAAGGGGAGTGTGCTTATGACCACACGACTGAAGTGAAACTTCTTTAGCTCCAATGATCTGAAAATCATAAACTTAACCTCAAGGTTTGTTGATAAAAAAAAAACAGCAATCCGCACTGGGTCCATTATCACCCACCAATCCGCACTGGGTCCGTTATCACCAACAAATCCGCACTGGGTCCGTTATCATCCACCAAACCGCACTGGGTCCGTTTTCACCCATCAATCCGCGCTGCGTCCGTTATCACCCACCAATCCGCGCTGGGTCCGTTATCACCCACCAAACACTAGATTCATGTATTTCGTGACGGGTATTGTTCATTGTTTACCGATGAGTCACCGGTGACACTTATCGTAACGTAAAAATCGTAACACATTCGCCAGTTTACCCCCCAAGTTAAGCGTGCCTATAGAAGTTTTAGTTCAAAAGCTACTTGATGGGTATAAAGAAATTATTATTATCATAGTTATGAAGATGTTTAGTATAATTACACTAAATAAAACAGATTTCACAACATAATACATTAGATTGGATCTTAAAGTTAATATAACTAGGGACTGTCTAGATATCGATAATAAGGGGAACATCCCTAAAATTTACTCACACCTATGTTTAATCACGTGCACATAGTCATTTCGGTTTTGGTACGAGTAACACGGAAATTAGTGGACTGTTCATCTACAACTCTAAAGTCATCATTAATTGATAGGTCCGTTTTGACATTTGTGCGCCCATAAAGTTTTAAATTTGAAATTAATACTAAACTTGAAATTCTTAATACTAAAACTTCATTGTCATTGTGCAATTTGTCATAAAATTTATTGAGTAGGTAATTTGAGGATGTAGAATTAAAATTTTACAATATCATATTGAGTTATGGTCGTACTACAGAATATGGTTCCGTAAACTTTTTAGATCATGTTTAAAACCATTCAATATATAATTTTTAACATACAAAACCCGCTATTTGACGGAATCTTCAAAAGATTTAGTAAAATTAATTGACTTTATAATTGCATAATAATAATAATAATTTATTTGCCAGAATATGGTAACAATAGTTGTTAATTATTTCTTTAGTTACCAGCATATTTTGTTGAATATCAACGTGCAAATATTTCAGGAAATTTACATTAATAAGGTCCAGTGACGTCTAAATAAATAAAATTAATTTAAAGCTAATAATAATATTCAATGTCACAAAGAATACTACTACTAATCTATTCATTATTAAAATAGCCTAGAAAAATTGCATCAATATTGAATTAAAATGTCAGAAAATTACATACATTTATCATCTACATATTTTAAACTATTATATTAATACACACGAATGTCAAACATACATTTATATTAGGTTATTTTATCATTTAAAAATCGTTAATTTAAAAGTACATTTTGTTAATTAAAAATGTAAATAATTCAGTCCTAAATTTGGTTACAGTCATTTTTTTATAATTGAAGGTAACTTATTAAAAATACGAATGGACGTACAATATGTATTTTTACAATTAATTATCATTACGGACCATACCTATGTCCTTATTCTTTGAAATTATAATGTGTTTATTAAATAGGGTGTAAAAATTATAAAGTCAATACGCATATAAGATCGCTGAGCGTAAGTTTACATGTTCGTTTTAATCAATCCTTTAATCAGCAATTCGTTAAAATTAGTAAAAAGCCTTATTAGGCCTAAAGAAGCATCCAACCTTACCCATTGGCTCTTTAAACAAGATGCGGCCTAAGGCCTATTAAGCCTAATAAAGCGTCAATCCTTTCTCATTGGCACTTCTGTGCAAGATAACTTGGTATCGTCCGTCCATGAGTGTGGCACGGTATGACTCGAGTTCAGCCAAGTCTCTTCGATAAATATGATAATGTCCCAATTTTTGTTTTTATTACTAACTTTTGACTTTATTGCCATTGGAAATAATAAAAATATTCCCACATGGAACTTTTCAGAAAGATGTCTTGGTATCCATTGGTCCGTCCATGACGGTGGTACGGTATGATTCGAGTGAAAAATGTCTCGCTGTTGATTTATGTGCGTCTACAAACTTAATTAAAAGCGTCGCGATCTTTAACATTTATATCTTTCATTATATAGATAGAGGGTAGACCAAAGTAGGGTTGTAACTGTAGCTTAAGACATGTAAATTACTGAAATATTTAAAGGAAAACACATTTTCAATTTAGAAAAACACACCATTAAAAATTATTGATAAACTTACAAGTTTAACATGAAAATAATAGGGGTTTCACTTAATTCTCATCTTGGTAAAAAATTACGTCGTGAAGTGACGTTAAAATTTCTATCTATTTGTTCCTTCCAAAAGGCAAGCAAAGGAATCAGTCTATAAGCTTTGTTAAGCCACAGAAAAATAGGGCCAAGTGCGAGTCGGACTCGTGCACCGAGGGTTCCGTACAAACTCAATTTAATACCTTTACGCGTTCATGAGAATAGAGGTAGTAACTTTAAAATTTTCAAAAATATTTTTTATTATATGATTGATGAAAATAAAAATTTACGGTTTTCGCAATTTTTCCTTTATCTGTACTATAAGACGTTACTTTGTAACAAATTTCAAGATTCTAAGCTCACGGGAAGTACCCTGTAGGTTTTGATTTCCGTGTGAGTTTCGAAAATTTGCGGCAATAAACGGCTGTATATTTTGATTGCTTTGGCTTAGAAGTTTAATTTTTTCACAGCTCCAAGGGACAGATGACTAAGTATTAGAAATTAATTTCAGTTTGATACCTTCACGCGTTCCTGAGAAAAACGGTCTTGACAGACGGACGAATGGACGGACGGACACCAAAGTGATCCAATAACGATTCCATTTTTTTCCTTTTAAGGTACGGAACCCTAAAGACGCATGGACTAGCGAAAACGATCTATGGTAAACTATAATAATCTGCCATACCGGATCAGCCGGGGGAGATTTTGTGCACGATCCTCTACTCGCATTTGAGTTTCGTGTTGACAGTAGTATATTAAGTTTATGTATCGGATAAACAAGTTGTAGTTTTAGTACACACTTCAATGAATTTAAAATTCATTCTCTAAAGTTACAACCCTACTTTGGTCTACCCTAAATTTGTTAAATCTGAATTCAACTAAAACTAGCTTTAACCCATAGAAATGTCAAAACGTCGATATATATTTAACAATAATGTCCTATACATTAATCTAGTTCTAGTACGCAGTAGTCTGTTTTTAGTACATTATGTATGAGAAAGGGTTGGGTTGTATTGGGTTTGGAGTTTGACAAAATATTGCAATAAAATATCTGAAATTATCGACTGATAATAAATAAATATAGTTGCAACACTCACACCAATTAGCCTAGCTCCAAAGTAAGCATTATAAGGCTTGTGTTATAGGATACTAGGGTAACGGATAGAATACATATATTGTACATATATAAGTATATTTATATAGAAATACATATTAAACATCCATGTCTGTAGTACAAATGCTCGTATTCATCACACAAACATCTGCCCCCACCGGGATTCGAACCCGGGACCTCTCGAGTCGGCAACACCATGAAACTCGGCGAATAAACCACTCGGCCACGGAGGTCGTCAAAAACGCTCCTAGGGGGGGAAGGCTTAACGAATGCAAATAAACTAGATCTACTTGTCAGGCTTTTTGCTGTCAAAATATATCTCGGGAGTTGGTGAAATAAATAAGTAGGATGAAAGAATGTATAAATAACTATTTAAGTTACGCAGACGAAATATAGGAACGATAACTTACTTTTTTGAAGTGAAACTTCTTATTGTACGGGGTGCGAATAGAGATGTGAAAAATAATTTAGTAAAAGTATTTAAATACAAAATGCAAATGCATAGTTGTTAGCACTATTTCAAATAGAAATACAAAATAGTTTTAATTAAAAGTATTTAAATACAAAATACGTATTTTCAAAATAGGTTTTCAAAATAAAATACCTTGTTAAGCATAAACACTTATTTTTATTTAACTGATTTTAAAACTAGTGTTTGTTCAAAGAGTTCATCTTTCATGTTCCGCCTATGGGGCCTCATAATCATTCCAACAAAAGAAAATAGTCATTCAAGAAGGGCAGAACTCGGTAAGCAGGTATTATATTTAAGCAAGAGTTTTTTTTACATTTGGATACCATTGTCTTCATCTTTTAAATATTATAGTGTTTCCAGATCTATTGTAGTAGTATTAACATTATCACTGGTTGCTGAAGAATCAGAGTCGTCAACAAACATATAATAAGATTTTGTCCTTTCCTTCTTTTTATCAGAGTAACTCCCGGTGCCAAAATTGCCACACTGAAATCGGGTATTTGACAATATTAAAAATTATGAACATCCCATAAGATAAAAGCGTAATAACACATATTTGACTTTATTTTAAACGAAATAATGTATATTTTTTGCAGATTACACAAAATAAAATTACATATTACTATTTATATATTATTTTTTTATTTATTATTGACGTGACAACGTCTTAAATTAGGTTGCGGCTGGGAGTCACTTATGAAAAAGTGTAACGCTCGGTAACGTTACGATGAGTCTCTCGTGTTAAGTTTAAGTTTACATGTACAATGTTTTAGTAAACAAAATATATTTCTATAGTTAAAATTTGTGCAATTCTTATTTTCATTCAATTCCTTGTTCCTATTGTGCAATTTAATTATATTCATATCAATAAATATTCTACCGAGAAAAAGACGTTGTCACGTAAAATCTTCGCCCGTAAAACCGACTTTACAGGCAACCATTTTTTATATTATTATTTTCTAATTCACATTATTTTAATATAATACATATATCCATATTACAAAATATAGTCATAATAGAAAAAATGTTCTAAGTTTAAAATGAATACGAAGGAGATAGCATTTAAACGATTCCCTAAAACGAAAAAGATTTTGTTAGCTGGTAACCCTAATTTCACACCCACGCCCTTATGTCAATGTCATTCACGTGCCATAAAAGTCTTGTAAGACTGTAGTTGACAATGACAACACTACGATCACGATCAGTGTGTTCATAAATAAGGTAATCTCGGATTTAAGAATAAAAAATAGGAAAAAATGTACAAAACTATTTTGTATTTTATAAATACTAAATATTTATATACATTTAATGTAGAGTCTAGTGAGGTCGCAACGAGAATATGCTACAACTGTTTGGAATCCATATTATAACAAATATAACGAATTAATTGAGTCAGTTCAAAGAAAATTCTTAATAAGAGTTAACTACAAATGTCGTTTGCCGAAATGTTCTTATGGCAAGTTAATAAATGGGTATTCTTTGCAAAATTTGCAATCTCGTAGAACAGTGTTTGACTCTGTTTAAAATTATCCATAACTTTTTTGACTGCTGTGAGTTAACAAATAACATCTACTATCGAACTCCGAGAACAGTACTGCTGTAAGAATGCGCAATGCCCGCCCACATAAACATTTTCATGTCAAATACACAAGGACTAATGCAGGAAAACGTACACCACTTCACAAAATAGCGTCCCTATACAATGACTGCCTGTACAATCTCGATATTATTTGCCTTTTACCGCGATTATTCAAAAAGGATGTTATCATAAAACTTGGAAGCTTATGTAAACATAATATATAAAATCTTATTTGGTGGCTACTTACTTGTCTCGTGAATTCATGGTTTCATCGCTGTGTTTGATGCCCTAAAATAATTCTTGTTACAATTTATTTAACTAAGTATTTAAATGTATTATGTAATCTAGAGAAGAATAATATATACTTTAATTACACTTTTTGCTAAAATACTTTTTTGTGATTTTTGTATTATTCAGATGTTTTCTTTTTTTTAATAAACTTTTATAACGGTGTTGATTGTACAATTATTAAGTTTATATCAACTTCATTGCTACCAAAATTTATTGTGCAGTAGTTTGTTTTCCTAAATAAACTAAAAAGAAAAAAAAACCCGCTGACGTTTGTTTTATATAATGTGTGCGTGAAAATCTAAGAAACAAATAGGTACTTTCTATTGCGAAAATATGACACTAGTGCAAAATAAATCAGAACTAGTAATACGTTCGACGTGTGTCGCAAACTTGTCGGGCATCCAATCCTTTGATAAATCATTCCTTTGATGGGATAAAATACGCTGAAGCATGAAATCTCTGCGTATTCGGCAGCGTACGAAGGAAATTCATACATAACATTCGTACAATATAAATGGTCTTAGTTGGAAAACGATAGATACCTACAAAACAAATTTGGATAAAAACATTAATCTAAGAGAGGTAGGGCAAAGCGGATGTGCCTCTCGAATTGGAGCGCCCGACTGGGGAGGTAACCTCCACCTTACAAAAGATCATTTATTTATTTATTTATTTGATCACCAACAAAGTTACACTTAGACATTTCTTATTTACACATTTATAGTACGACACTTTATTAGTGGGACTTTAATTATAGGCGATTACGACATGCAATTTACACTTAACTAGAAATTAAATCTTATAAAATTTTGATATTTACTTTAATTTCAATACAAAACCATTATGAATAAAAATAAAGTTTTAAATTGTCAATAATTGAACAACAACAATTAAATAAATATATGAAAAATAAATTAATGAAAATAAGTTAATGAAAAATAAATTAATGAGTAATAAATCATAATAAAATAATTCTACCTTTTTGTGGTTTTGTGTTTCTCTCGCTGAGTAAGGTTTCAGAGCTCCACGGGGTAGGGGATTGGGCCAGGATAGGTAACGGTAAGCCTCTATAGGCTATGGTAGCCGCCAACCATTAGGCGGGTCATACGCTTGCTGGCCACCCTTTTTTACATTAAAAAAGCCTACAAAATTCATCTTATTATCAATACAAATACCTTTTTTTTAAAAAAGGACCAGTGCGGAAGGCCACACTGATCCTACTCCACTAAAACCCCCCGGTACCCTCCTACGCCCATATGGGGGCGTCTCGGGGCCGACGCACCTGCGTGCGCCACAGCTCCGAGCACGCCCCCGGGCAGGCCCGGCCCAACGAGTGGACCGGGCGACGCGCCTCAGGGGGACTGCGCTAGGGTACTAGGCAGTCCCCAGACGTGGTGGCCTATGCCGGAGCGGCACCTAGGACGCGCGGCTGGTCAGGCCGCGCCCAGACCACCTTAGGGCCGTCGAAGACCGGCAGTCACCGCTGCCTGCCTTCTTCGGCCCACCCGTCTACGCCGGAGAGGGGCGGCTAGAGCGTCCTCCTCCCGCTCCCTCTCCGCTGCCTCCTTCTGCGTCATCACCGATTCGCAGAAGGAGGCGACAACCCTCCAGGCTCTCTCGCTACCAAGCATGGCTCTTACCATACTTGGCAGCGTGAGGCCTCCTACGCCGAGCGCCGCGATCAGATCGCGGCGCTCGGCTCTTCGCAGGAGGGCCCTCGTGCGGGACGAGAGGCACTCCGCCCAGACCGGGGCCCCGTACAGCGCCATCGACTTCATCACGGAGTGATAAAGCCGACGGCACTTCGCCTTCGGGCCCCCCACATTGGGGAGGAGGCGACCGAGTCCGGCTGCGACGCCGCACAGCCGGGAAGCGAGGAGCCTGAAGTGCTCCTCCCAGCTCCATCGGGGGTCTAGGGTCAGGCCGAGATACTTGAGATACATCTCGACCGGAACCCACACCCCCTCTACTCGGGCACGAAGCCCCGGCGGGGTCCTGCATCTGGGACCGTGGAAGGCCATGGCCCTCGTCTTTTCGAGGGCCACTTCGAGTCCCAGGAGGCGGATGCGTCGAACGACCATGGAGGTGCCGACCGACGCAAGGTGGACCGCCTCCTCCCACTCCTTCGCTCTCGCCGCTACAAGGGTGTCGTCCGCAAAGCAACATATTATGTGTTTGTAAAATACTGTTTCCAATCTATTGTTTTTGCACGGAAAAGTGAAACAACGAAGGTATAGGAAATCTCATGATGAAATGATGATGAAATTTTTGTGTATTTATGTATGGAAAATTTAAACGTCAGGGATCTTTATAGGATATTGCGTACTAATCATAATCAAAATCATTTATTCAGTTTATGCTGTTACAAGCACTCATGAATGTCTAGAAGCTACGCCATAGGTTCGTAAATCTTTGGCGGGAGACCTTGTACTGAGAAGAACCGGAAAGAAACTAGGCAAGGGCTGTTTTTTCTCCCCATTTTATTATTTACAGAGTCGTCAAGTTGAAAAATGACTTAAGAGATGATTCATGAAGTCACTTTTTATTACATAATGTGAATTATACATTAATTATTCACCTGCATTTTGATTGCTGTGTCATACAGCATAAATACATATTTGTTTCTTAGGTTTTTACGCACAGCACAGCATAAATACAAATAAAATCTAAACTATTCTGAATCATTCCATAAACACATTGTCTAAGATAACGTAGATGTTTTGACGCATCGGTGTGTTTTACTGCTTCGTAGATCTTATAAACACCAACTAATTAGCATAACCACTATTATAGAGACTCATTTACATACAAAAACACACAAGTGGAACATACACCACCTTCCATTTATGTTCACCGTAACATCCTAATGGCTCTTGACAGCAGATAACAACGTCACTAAATACATTATAATAAATATGCATAAGACAACATCAAATAGTACGATTATTATTCAATCATCATCACGACCCATTAATGTCCCCACTGCTGGAGCACAGGCTTTACCTATGGATGGAATAGGATGATTGGGCAGTGACCACCACGCGTGCCCAGTGCGGATGGGTGGGTCCTAATGACTGCAGATACAGCCGAGACCAACGGTCTGCACGTGCCTTCCGGAGCTTGGAGGAAACATAGATACTAAGTTTTTGATCACTCATCCAATGACTAACCATTTCGAAAATTGTTTAACTTCGTAGGCTGAAGGCGCTAACAACCTGCGCCATAGAGCTCCTCAAATTTATATAAACTAGTTAATAGATACAGTGGGAATTATATTTTGTATTATATTTTCAATTTTAAAATTAAGTACCTATGTCATTTAATTTTTTGTCTAGCACTGCACAGTAAATTTAACATATCTTTAAATATTTACTGTACAGTGCTACATATTATAATCTAGTGATTTGCTAAGCGGCATCGGGACGAGTCTCCTCTCCTTCCTTGTCACTAAACTTCTCAAGCTTGGGGAAACAACACACGAGCCGTGAACCGCGGCTGACGACGGTTGCGGGGATGTTAATTTGTATAGGCATATAGGTTTGACATCGCGCTGCATCCGCATGATCGTGCGGGTAGCCGATGAGTATGGTTTCAGGGCTCAGGATTGGGTTACTGA